GGCGTCCCAACCTGAGCCCACGCCCAAACCCGGCCCAACCCACGCATCGCAGCACAATTGCTGGAGGCAGGGAGCGCGGGAGGGGGGACCAAGAGGGAGGCGTGGGAGCATATTTTCTCTCACCCGCGTTCGCTGGCCTCCCAAAAGGCTGCCGCCGCCTCCTCGAGCCTCCGCGCCAGGGACACCGCCTGCGGGTAGCCCGGCTCGCCCGGGAGGACGCTGGGGATGGCCTGGGCCGCGGCTTCGCGGGAGGCTGGCGCAGGGAGACCGCGCGAAGCCCAGAAAGCGTCCCGGCCGTCCTGGGTCCGGCTGCAGCTGCCGAGGACGTGGAAGAGTGGGCTCAGCACTTGGCCTTGGCAGCAGATGCGCACCTACCGCCTGGCCTGGGAGCGGGCCCCTGAGGAGTGGCACAGGACCAGGAGCCGGCACCGTAGACGACTGAGGGACCGCTGGCCTTCCAGCACATCCTCCGGAACTGCGAGGGCCAGGGCTCGGGACAGGTCGGGCCTCGGTACAGGCCCCAGCGATTGGGGGGACAGCGCGCGCCCTGGTGGTGGCAGGCGGCTTCGGAGCAACGCAGTACTCCTGTCCGCCAGGGCGTTGCGGATTGCTTCCTTGTGCTGCTGCCGGGTGCCCGTCCCGTGGGCGGCGCGGAACGCTGGCCAATCTGGGAGGGACCATGCGTCAAGGAGAGCGAGGGGCGCCCGAACCCACGTCGGGCCTGGAACAGAATGGGCCCGCACAAAGATACCGTGGAGGAGGAGGAGGAGGAGGAGGAGGAGGAGGAGGAGGAGGAGGAGGAGGAGGAGGAGGGGGAGGAGGAAGAGGGGGAGGGGAAAAGGAGGAGGAGGAGGAGGAGGAGGAGCACCAGCAGGACCAGGACCAGACCAGGAGGACGAGGACCAGGAGGAGGAGGAGGAGGAGAGGAGGAGGAGGAGGAGGAGGAGGAGGAGGAGGAGGAGGGGGGAGGAGGAAAAGGAGGAGGACGAGGAGGAGGAGGAGGAGGAGGAGGAGGAGGAGGAGGAGGAGGAGGAGGGGAGGAGGAGGAGGAGGAAGAGGGAGGAGGAGGAGGGGGGGTGCGGGGAGAATAAGACCGATCACCATCACTTCGGACTGTTCAGGAACTACTTCGGTCGGATTGCAACCATTGGGAACGGACTGATCGTATTCTAAAGGACTCCTATACAAACCTTTCCGAAGAACACCGGATTGCAACCGATCCAAGCTACTCTGCTGAGCTTCTGCAGAGCTTTCAGCGCGGCCTCTGAGAGGCCTCAGCGAGGCTTCTGAGAGGCCTCAGCGAGGCCTTTCAGAGGCTTCTCTGAAGCCTTCTTCAAAGGCTTCTCTGAAGCCTTTCAGAGGCTTTTCTGAAGCCTTTCAGAGGCTCGCGGCGCGGGAATAAGACCGATCACGACCTCTTCGGATTGTTCAGGATTTACTTCGGTCTGGGAAGTATTTTCATCCTGAGATGTTTGTGTTCCTGGTTGCTTTGCGCTAGAGGGTTCTTATCGTGGTGACAAAGGACCCCAACGCTTTCAAAGGCCCCGCGCGTTCCACAGGTCGCACAAGTCCACAGATCCCACAGGTTGCACAAGTCCCAAGGATCCCACCGTTCCGTCTGCCCCGCAGGCCCCGCAGGTCCCACAGGTCCTGTGGCTCCCGGGCCCAGGGGCCGTCCACAAGCGACTCAGTATGCAATGTTGGTATACTGTAGGTTCATGCGGCGTTGGCACGCCGGTGACGTTGGCGAAGGCGTTCAAGGCTGCATTCTGCGACGCGGGAGCACCGAGGGAAACAGTAGGGCCACTGCACCCGACGAAATTCAACCTTGAACGGTCGGGACCGCGATCGATTCAAGGTTGAATGATCGACGCGGTGCTGAAAGCCTTGCGGGTGCCGACGCCGCGCGAACCTACCGTAGGGTCATTCGTCCGGACCTGTGGGGGTCGACGTTCCGGAATAGTCATGATGTTGGGGGTCTGGGCCGCCGCCTCTTTCCGCCTTGTTGTCCTGTTCTCAGTCCTCCTCCTTTCCTCCCCCTCCTCCTCCTCCTCAATCCTGCTCCTGCTCCTCCTGCTCCTGCCCTTCCTCCGTCTCCTCCCTCCCTCATCCTCCTCCTCCTCCTCCTCAGCTCCCCGATGTTCAACATGCCCGCGATGGAGCTGGGTGCGCCAAAGGAGCAGAAGGCCGGCGGCGTCAACAACGAGCGAGCTTCCACCTGAGGCACAGGGCCTGTGACAGCGCAGTCTCGCTTTATTGCCGTTTGGCAGTTTGATTGTGTGTAGTTTTTTTTTTTCCGTCGGGGCTAGCCAAGGCATCCCAACCAGTTTTTCAGAGCCTAGGATTTCGGCAGCTGACAGACTTACGGAATTTACATCGTCTTATCGACGGCGTCTGCTTCGATATGAAAGCAGAAACCGAGCGTTCCATCCAGAGTGCAATCCGACTCGCGAGGATTCAAAGGTGCTTACCCCTTCAGAGCGAGAATCAAGGAATTTGTGGTAGTGGCCCCTGTCGTCATACTTACATTCGCATTTCTTATCCAGTAGATGGCCGAGTGCCATCAGGTGCGAGTCAATCGAAGCTGTATTCCCGCCGCAGCCGCCAAATGCGTCGCCAGAGAGTAAGCTCTCTGGCGTGGATTGCTTGTAATGATCCGCCTGTGTGGATCACTCAGCACCGTTGCGTACAAAGTATGTAACAGTCGCAAGCTATAGCTTGCTTTGCGGCGCTCGCGTCCCGGGATTTGCATCGTGTCGTCGTCGGCGTCCGCGGCGTCGGCGTCGGCATCTTCGCCATCGCCGTCGGCGTCGGCGGCGACGGCGTCGGGGTCGGCGTCGGCGTCGGCGTCGGCGTCGGCGTCGGCGTCGGCGTCGGCGGCGTCGTCGTCGTCGTCGTCGTCGTCGTCGTCGTCGTCGGCGCCTGCATACTTGCCAGCGTCGCGGCGACACGTCCCAGCCCCTCGCAGGGCCGACCTGCTGGACGGACAGGCGCAGTGTCCAGTGATGTGCGTCTCCTCCTCCTCCACAATTACTCAATATGAATACTACTCTCCCTCTTCCCCTGATGACGGTTGAAAGTATCCGACCCCCCCCCCCCCGCGTACCGTTTTTTACACACAGGTTTCCCGGGAGTTGGGTTTTCGCTTGCATTTTTGTTTCAAAATGCTGCTCTCGCTGAGGCGCAGGCCTCATTTTCAGGCCCCGGTCGTTCCGAATCGTGCTCCCGCTGCAGCGCTGGCCCCATTTCCGTGCTTCCGCTCGTTCCGAATCGTGCTCCCGCTGCAGCGCTGGCCTCATTTCCGCCCTTCCGCTCGTTTCGACTCGTGCTCCCGCTGCAGCGCTGGCGTCATTTCCCGTGCCATGCCACGGCATGCGATGCAATGCTAGGTTGATGCTACGCTTTGCGGTGCTCTTCTACGCCATGACATGCCGTGCTCTACAATGCATCGCGTACCCTCTCGGGCTCATTGCCCTGCTCGACATCCGATTGTGCGAGTAGAGAGGGGATCTGCGCCATGGTAATGGATGGGAGGGAGGGGTAGGATGTCAGATATGACGCGAGCGCACCTAGCTTGTCCTCCTCCTCCTCCTCCTCCTCCTCCTCCTCTTTCTCCTCCTCCTCCCCCCCCTCCTGAGATGCAATCCGTCTCACACCAGGCGTGTTTGCTTTGTTTGAGTTTCAATCGTATACGAACCACATAGGACCCGGATTCGGATCATGGCCACGTTCGAGCGCAAGTACATGTGTTTAGTTGATATCATGATCGGCCGTCGGTGATCGGACCGATCGCAACCGCTTTTTCTGATTCCCATTGGGCGGTTGAAGGGAGCTCATTGCACCCAGAAGCGCTCTTATGATCTCCTCCTTATTCGAAACCTTATTGAAACGACCCAACAACATCGCAACCACTCCGGACGGATCGCAACTGGTTGCGATCGGTCCGAAGTGGTTGACGATCGGTCCGAAGTGGTTGCGATCGGTCGTGCTCGCGGGGTGCGGGGGCACGGGGTGGCGGATGGAGGGATGGAGCGGAGGAACAGTGGGGAGGAGGCGGATGATGATGATGATGATGATGATGATGATGATGATGATGATGATGTTGATGTTGATGTTGATGTTGATGTTGATGCTGATGCTGATGATGATGGTGATGATGATGATGACGATGATGATACTGATAATGATAATGATAATGATGATGATGATGATGATGATGATGATGATGATGATGATGATGATGATGATGATGATGATGATGTTGATGTTGATGATGATGATGATGACGACGACGACGACGATGATGATGATGATGATGATGATGATGATGATGATGATGATGATGATGATGATGATGATGATGATGATGATGATGATGATGATGATGATGATGATGCTTATGTTTATGCTGACGAGGATGAGGATGAGGAGGAGGAGGAGGAGGAGGAGGAGGAGGAGAAGGAGCGGGGTGAGGCATGGAGCGGCCTAGGATGAGAAGCAAGAAGAGAAGGGGGCGAAATACGGGGCATCGTGCAGCCTCTTCGCCCTCTGGATCACCGCTACTAGGACACCGTCTCTGCGCTCAGGGCGGCGGCGGAGGAGGAGGAGGAGGAGGAGGAGGAGGAGGGAGGAGGAGGAGGCTGGCCTGCCCGCGCTGCTGCACCTCGGCCATGAAGGGGGCTTCGCCAGGAGGCCAGGGGTTCTCGGGTTGGCCGGCCGCGTCGGCGATGCTTGAGGACCCCTGACCCGCGTGGCCCCAGCGGGGGCGGAAGCGCGGGGGTTACCCGCGCGAGCGTAAATTGGGTCAAGGTAGAGGTAAAGGCGGAACAGGAGGATGAGGATGATGATGGTGAGGAGGAGGAGGCGGAGGAGCAGGAGGAGGAGGAGGAGGAGGAGGAGGAGGAGGAGGAGGAGGAGGACGTGGTGGTGGAGGAGGAGGAGGAGGAGGGGGCGAAAGACCTGGCCTCCTGCAGTACCTTCGCCCTCCGGACCACCGCTAGGATGCCGTCTCGGCGCTCACCGCCAGGGGCGCCTCCAGGGGGCCGTCCGCGAGCGTGGCTGCCACGACGCCAGGCGGGCCTCCTCTCCAATCCAGGGGGTGGGGATCCAGCAGCGTCGGCTGTCAGAGATTGGATGGTCCTCCTCCTCTATACTTCTCCTTCCTCCTCCGCCTCCTCTTCTTCCTCCTCCTCAGCTCCTCTTCTATCCTCCTCCTCCCCCTCCTCCTCCTCCTCTTCCTTCCCACCTCCACCTCCTCCTCCTCCTTCTCCTCCTCCTCCTCCTCCTCTGCCTTCTCCTTCTCCCTCTCCTCCTGCGTGGCCGCCACGATGCCAGGCGGAGCCCCTCTCCAAGCCAGCAGTGGGTCTGCCGGCGTCGGCGGTCAGAGATTGGAGGGCCAAGGCAGCTTTAGCGGCGAAGGACAAGGTCAGGGGTAGCTAAAGGTACCCCTGGTACAAGGTGCCCTAAGCTTTTCGATCAATTTTGGAGCCCCCTGGGTACTCTAAACACCCGAAAATGGGCACTTCTACCAACACCCGAAAATGGGTTCGTCTCCACCGCCATCGGCGCGTGAACTGCCCGCGCAAGGTCGCGCACAAGCCGCCTCGCTTCCAACGCAGCGTACCGCGCTAGCGGCCCGCGTAAGCTACCGCGTCAGATCGCTATGTCATCGCGCGTGGGACCCGTTCCCCTTCGTCGTCACATCTTGTGGGATACCAACATCTGGGACCTATGCTAGATACCGTTCTCACTATCCAGCAGCTCGCGTCGATTGACATTGGATTCCGCTGCACATTCGGGGCGGATACGTCTAAAGACAAAGCGGCAGTTGGCTGTCAGACATGCAGGGTACCCTTGTCTGGGATCGGTATGCTCGAAATGGGTCCGGGAAGAGCGGGTACGAAGCCGACATCAGTCTATGTCTTGTTTGAACCGGGTTTGTTGTCGGCGTCGCCGCGGACGTTGGCCATTTGAGACAGAAGGCCGCCTGCCCAACAGCGGGCTCTCTCGGTTTTGGACAACAGCCGTTGTTGGGCATCGTCCCATTTCTGTCCGTACCCGTTTCGGGAAGCCCAGAACAGTTGAAGGGTGTCTTGTCTCGGATTTCTGTCTGCACGCTTGGCTTCTTACCACTGCGCAGTCTGAGGTCTTTACCCGCCAGCGACAGGCGATGTGGCATCATTATCGACGATCAAATGCGGCCCAATGGGTGCCCCAAGAAGGCCCCTAGATATTCCAAGAGGGCCCCAGGGCAGCCCCGAATTGCGCCAAGAGGGTTCCACGGCAGCCCCAGGAGACCCCCGAGCCGGTGTCGAGAGACCCTTGCCGGCCCACGCGGGCCCCGAGGCAGCCCGAGAGAGCCTCAAGCTGGCCCACGAGAGCCCCGCAGGGAGCCCCAGGGAGGAAGGCCTGAGAGGGCCCCCCCCCCTTCGGAAAGGAAAAAGCCCCAGGCGGCGGCAGACCCAGCCCTCACCCCTTCCGGCCCGACCCCGCCCCTTGCCTCACACCTCGGACCTCACGAGAGGCTGGGACATGGGGGGGGGGCGCAGGGGGGCAGAGTATTTCGGGCGACAAGAACTGTGCATACATAGATCAGCGATATACATATATTACATATATGTATATAATCATATATTTCCAGATAAGGGTATCTATATGTATATATATATATACATACATCCCCCAATCAGAGGCTGTCTCTGTAGGGGTCCTAGCGGATTCATATGGTTAGGTGAGGTGTATCACCGATTTCCGCGGCCCGCCCGGGTGGCCGGATGCCCGGGTGCCTTATAGCCCTACAGCTCTATAGCCCTACATAGCCCTACATAGCGAAAGCGCGCCAGTGGATCTCCCTGAATACACAAAAAGAGGGGTGTGCTCGCAGAACCCCCCCTCCCCCTCCCCCCCTTCAAAGGGGGGGGTGAGATTTTCGAACCCCACCCCCCCTTCCCCCACTTAAAGGGGGGAGGGGTCCGAACCCCCCCCACCCCCCTTGAATGGGGGGGGGGGGGGAGGGGTTGTGGACCTCCTGCCCCCCCTCCCCCCCTTTGCGCTGGCAAGCGGGGCGGGGGTTCGACCCCCCCCCCATCCCCCCCTTTGCGCCGAACAGGGGGCTGGGGAGAGGGCCTCTCCCGCAAGGGGGGGGGTCTGGCCTCGTGATAGTGAGTAGTGGGTAGTGAGTAGTGAGTAGTGAGTAGTGTATAGTAAGCAGTGAGTAGATAGTCACGAGTAGTGAGGAGTGAGGAGTGAGTAGTGCGCAGTGAGTAGTGAGTAGTGAGTAGTGAATAATGGGTAGTGGGGGGTGGGTAGTGAGTAGTGAGTAGGAAGTAGGGGGTAACGAGTAGTGAATAGTGAGTCGCGAATAAGAGATTGTGAGGAGTGAGTAGGGAGGAGGGAGTAGTCAGTAGTGAGTAGCGAGTAGGGAGTAGCGAGTGATTAGTGAGTAGTGAATGGTTTGTAGGGAGTAGTGAGTAGTGAGAGAAATGGGTATTGGGTAGTGGGTAGTGCGTAGGGAGTAGCGAGTAGCGAGTAGTGAGTAATGAGTAGAGAAGTCGTAAGTAGTGAGTAGTGGGTATTGAATCGTGAGTAGTGAGTAGCGACTTGTGACTAGTGGGTAGTGAGTAGGGAGTAGTGAGTAGTGTGTAGTGGGTATTGAATATTGCGTATTGCGTAGCGACTAGCGAGTAGGGAGTAGCGAGTAGTGATTTGTGGGTAGTGAGCAGTGAGCACTGTGTAGAGAGTAGGGAGCAGCGAGTAGCGAACAGTGGATACTGAGTAGTGACTTGTGGGCAGTGAAGTGTGAGTAGTGAACTGTGCGTACTCACTAATGAGTAGTGGATAGTGGTCATTCGGCAGTCAGTAGTTCTCAGTCAGTAGTGAGCAGTGGCCAGTACACATTGTTTAGTGAGTAGTGAGTATTGAGTACTGGGTAGTGAGTAGTGAGTAGTAAGTGGGGAGTAGTATGGAGTAGTGAGTAGTGAGTAGTGAGCCGTTGGAGCGTAGTGAGTAGTGAGTAGTGGGCAGTGAATAGTGCGTACTGGGTAGCGAGTAGGTTGTAGGGAGTAGCGGGTAGTGAGTATTGTGGAGGGAGTAGCGAGTAGTGGAAAGTGAGTAGGGAGTTGTGGGCAGTGAGTAATGAGTAGTGAAGTGTGAGTAGTGAGTAGTGAGTAGTGAGTGTATAGTGGCTAGTGAGTATTGACTAGTGATTTGAAATGAATGAGTAGTGGGTAGTGAGAAGTCACCAGCTAGTAGTGAGCAGTGGAGCAATGAGTAGTGAGTACGGAGTAGTGAGTAATGGATAGTGTTTAATGAGTAGTTGGTATTGAGTAGTGAGTCGTGAGTATTGTGTATTCAGAAGTGAGAAGTGAGTAGTGAGTAGCGAGTAGTGGGTAATGGGTAGTGAGTAGTGCGTAATGAGAAGCGAGTTCCGTTCGGGGCTAAGGCTAGGATTTGGGGTTACTGTTAGGGGTTAGGGTGAGGGTGAGGATTGGTGTTCGTGGTGGCAGGGGTCGGGTTCCGGAGCTCGGAGGCGCCGTGGCGAAAGGGGGGGAAATGGGGGGGGCGTTTGATTTTGGCGGCCAAAATGGGCGGAGATGGGGGGGGGTCGGAACCCCCTCCCCCCCCGTCGCCTTCGTTCGCTGCCCTTCGTGGCCCCGTTGCTGCCCTCAGTGGCCCCGTCGCTGCCCATTGTGGCCCCGCATTATATGCCTTTCGTGGCCCCCGCTCGCAGTCGCCCGTCGTGGCCCCATACGCATGCCCTTCGTAGCCCCGCTGTCGCCCTTCGTGGCCCTCTCGCTGCCCTTCGTGGCCCCTTTGCTGCCCTCAGTGGCCCCGCTGTCGCCATTTGTGGCCCCATATACGAATGCCCTTCGTGGCCCCCGCTCGTTCGCGCCCGTCGTGGCCCCATATGCATGCCCTTCGTGGCCCCGCTGTCGCCTTTGGTTGCCCCCTCTCTGCCCTTCGTGGCCCCGTTTCTGCTCAAGGGGTTCACCAACCACACATGGCAGGGAATGAGTATACCTCCAAGAAGGGAGTACGATCGAAGACGAAGAGGGCGGGTATCCAGGGTTTGGGATATGCATATTGAATGGCACGCGAGCAGCTAAGAGCGAACAGTCTTAACTTGATTGTTGTTGTTGTTGTTGTTATTGTTGTTGTTGTTGTTGATGTTGATTGTATTGTTGTTGTTGTTGTTGAACACTATTTCTTCTTAAGAATAATTATTGTTGGGACCCCTGGTGCACGACCCCCCCGCCGCGCCTAGGCCGCAGCTTCATTTTCATCATTTTCGTGAGGAAGTCTCAAGCAAAACGGGGGAGTCCGGATCCGGTTGTGTTGTTACGATCGGTTTCCCTTGCAAAAAATAAGCTAAAGTGGACATTTCTTGTTCTAACATAACCAAACTTCAAGAATCCCTTGGAAAAAATAAGGTAAAGTTGACATTCGCGCGCGCAAGACGAAATCCTTCCAAAACCTTAGTTTTCGTAGCGATGTTAACATAAAAACATCAAAAAAACAATGGTTTTTTGTTTTAAAAAAGTGTCAAAATTTCATCCCGCGCGCTCTTGCGGATTCGTAGGGAACCCAACACTTTTTAAACATTTCTGTCAAACGGGCTTTTGCGAGCAACTTTTTCGAACTTCTGCAACAACGGTCGCGCACCTGCCAGGGCCATCATCCCTGTCAAATAATACCATGCGGGACACATTAGTTTTTTCTTCGCGCGCGCACGCCGTCGTCGTCGGCCGCGGGGCCCTGAATAGTAGCCACGGTCGTCCGCATGCCACGAAGTGAAGTGTCCGAACGTCATAGGGCGGGAAGCTGGGTGTGGGTGGTGGCGAAGAGTCGTTTGGAAATTTGGTAGAGCTTGAACCGGCCCCCCCACAAAGTGGGGGTATTGCCCGCCTCCTATGAAAACCCTGGCACTGGTGAGAACGGAGTGTCCCCACGTGCTAGTAATTGTTGTTGCTGTTGTTGTTGTTGTTGTTGTTGTTGTTGTTGTTGTCGTCGTCCCCCCCGCGACCCGCCCCCGACCCAGCCGCGACCCACCCCCTCGACCCATCCCGCGACCCACC